TCGTCATTGCAGAACATAATGGCCACGAAGCTGCAAGTGTCAAAAAGTATAAAATGTTAAAAGTCATCAAATGATAACGAACTTATATAATCAGAGAAAATTTTAGATTATCAGAAAGTTGGGTCAGTGTTACAAGCCGACCTAATCATGTTTCCACCGGGAGAGATGGTTTGATGGCATGGCAAATAAACATATAAAATTAATTACTATTCAAAAATGGTCACCAACCGATCATGAATAGAGGAAAATTATTAACATAGTATCACATTTACGACGTCCCCGATAGAAGTAAGAGTTTTATCTGGTCCCTCGCTTTGCGTGTCCAACGGTCATCTAGCATTTGTGAACATGCTTGCGGTTGTTAATGGATCTAAATCCTGATAAATGTCCCAATCATGTATTAGTATGATATATTATTTTATTTTTGACTTAATATCCTTAATGCATATAGGACTTAGTCTCGTAAGATAGTTTATATACGAGTTGTTTTTACTTAATACAGAAAGTCACGGAAAATGAGGTTTTTAATTTTTAGCATTACGTTGTAATTTTTAAAAATAGGATAAAATTCCATTATTAAATGAAAGAAATACCAATGAATTTATACTAATATGTTTATTATTACATCATGCTTTCACTTTTTGTTTTCTATTACAGTATAATAAAAAATAATGATTTAAGTCGTATTTAAAAATATCAAGTCTACCGTTGTACCTTGAAAACTCAACTAATCATAGCATCAAACTATTCATTTTTATTATGACAATTTAATTTGAAAAATCTTCCTAAGTATTTCATTTTCTTTGCAACTTTTTTTTCTTATTAAGACATTGTATGTTAGAAAATCAAATATAGAATTGTACTTTCAACAATTTTCTTATTAGAACATTATACTTTATAACTCCTAATAATTCTTATTAGGACATTGTATTCTAAAAAAGAAAACAAATTATAGCAATGAAAACATTTTTATATTTAAAATCACAATATTGCTACCAATGGATAGATTTCTCAACTTACTATGTTGAAAATCATATAAAGCCAAACTCTCTTTCAGTGTTTTAGAGAGTTTGATTTTTAGAAAAAACATTATTACAAGCAGTATTATGAGAAAAAAAAATAAAGACCCTCCATAAATAGGATGTTGACTTATTAACCAGTTCCAAGTACAAATGAATATTGTTGGTCACTAAAATTTACGAATTTCTACCAAATTATAAATTGAAAGAACTATTGTCAATAAAAGACGATAACTAATAATGCTATGTTATCGTCAATAGCAAAGGAACGAAAAAAATTTGAACGATTTTTATCCCAATTCGACTAAACTAAGATTTTATAAAAAAGTCTAAAAATTATGATTGTTATATTATTTTTTTTTTATCACAATTTGACTAAGCAATTGTAGTTGTGTAATCTCCTTTTCCAATCTATTGAAGCCAATCATTAATATTTGGTGTTCATGAAAAAAACTAACATTGTTTAGTAAAAAGAGTTCTTACAAAATATTAAATTTCATTTAATTTACATGCATAAAAACAACGGGAAGTTGATGAGAGGAACTTGTTCCTGCTTCTCAAGCTAAGTTTATATGTCAATCAGGACCAATAGTAATGCATTTTTCTATGAAACTCAACAATAAATTGACAAAATGATCAATTAACACAACTAAATGAGTTATAAAACAATTAACATGTAAAAATTCTTACTTAACCAAAATGGACTTTTGTATGCATTGTTGCGTTCAAGGATAACACACAAAAATACTTACATAGACATGGACATACTTATCTCGTTCGTGTGGACATCTAGGGCACAATTGTAGATAATAGTTGGCCAAAGCTATAGCTGAGAAATCCAAGGACACATCAAAACATATCATGTGATTTCAAAAAATAAACACATTAACATTGCTCAGATTAACTAAGTTTATGTAGTCCTTTAACAAAACTAAACTTCAATTCCACCACCAAAGTACTCATTCATTTCATTATAAGCATCATTTGAAGAGCTTCTATGAATTGCTTCATTTTAACTTTGTTGTTGACGTGTTCTTTATGGTCTTCATCATAATCATCTTCATCATTCATCGATAATCTACCATAAAAATTTAAATAATTCAAAGTTATAACCAACTTACCCTTTTCATTTGTTTCACTAGTTTCCTCGGCATATATTTCAATTTAAAAGGTTAAATCATTAAAAATATATGGTGAGACATACACATTGTAGTGTGGATAAGACCGCACACACAACACATATATTTAACAAGACTGCAAAAAATACAAATGTAATTTTTGTAGTGGCGTGTTTTGTCCAAAAACACTGTTGAAAGTTGATCTCCGAGTTCCCATAGCTATTGAAAATCTATATAAAGTGTCTTCTCAACTACAAATGTATGTTCAATCAGATTCAATGACAATTCAAATGATTATGATGGTGGTGGTTTTGAACATGAAGGTGGTAAAGAGGATAGACCAAGGGGAGACTATGATATAGACACATTAGCTGATGGTGTGATAAGGAAGATTGTATGTCCACCACTCGCACTCCACTATGTTTGGTTGCAAGCCTTATTAAATGATCTTTTTGAAATGCATTTAAATAACCAATTACCTAAATTAATACTTATCGTTGGCAGTTTATGGTATATAATATAACCGCTAGTAAGTCGTTGCTCTATGTCCATCCATTAACCCAAGTTTTGGTCTCCCTATTGAATACAATTATTATTATCAATATTAAATGATAGATAATTTTTAAAAACATCTCATCATACATTGAAAACATATGATAATCCCTTGATGATATAATGTGATGGTGGTAAAGATTTCCAACTCTAATATGATTTCCAATCCTATCAAAAGCCTTCTTATTAGTTTTTAAAGAGGCTTACATTAGTCTTCCCCATGAATACATATGGCCTAAGAAATAAGGAATAGGAGATCACATTTATGGTTATTCGCTATTAAGATAAAACCGAGTTGTCATATTGGACAATTTGATGGATTATACGACTCCCATACTTGGATTTTTTAATTGTTTGCAACTAATCCGAATTATTAACTTTGATTCGGGAATTGTTTTGGTTTATAATGAACCACTTCAACTCAAAATTTTCATATGTAAAATTTTAAACTATAGTGTATTTGTTGTTTATAAATTTCAATTGACAAGTAATCAATTTGTTATATAGAGTCTACTAATTTTCCTATTATATATTTTAAAATGTCCCGGCTGTTGAAAAACTAAATTATAAAGGTCTAGCCAAACGGATTGTAAATTTCTTTGTTCATATTATATTTAAATTTACTTAGGATTATTAGGATTCATGTTGTGAAATGCAAAATAAATTCGAATTCATTTGATATGACCGGATCGATTAGATCCATTCAAACGAGTACCCCTACTGACATTTCAAAAAGACTGTGAATAGTATTCAAATTATATATTTTCCATGTGTCAAAGTAATCTAGCAATATCATTATAATCTCCTTTCACGTGCTCGTGCACATCTTACCCCATAAACCCACACTCTAATGAATATAGTTGGTAGAAACACTCCATATCCTTGTCAAGAAAGTTTTTGAAACAGTTTGACTTAAAAAGTCCCAAGGATCTCTAATTGTCATGATATCCTTAACATTTAGTTTTTTGAATACCGGTCTCTTAAACTTAGAGACTCGTGTATTATCCTCGATGGGTAGTTGACCCAATCTCAATCTGGTTATTAGAAATATGATTAAGCATGACTAGTAGTTCATGCTGATATACCTAAATAAGAAATTACGGTTGATAAATGGTGGATAACACTGGATCTCATGATTGATGCCATTATGAACAAGAGGTGGCACCCGGGAAGAAGTGTGTAGATCGAGCCAAGAGCCGAAACATGTTTGTTGCCTAAACATCTTTTCTTGTACAATATCTAATCTTCTCTTTATAGTCAAGTTAAACTCAAATGATCCGTGTATAATGGCCGGTGTTGTAAAATTACACAAAAGGTTGGGATTTAGATGATTTTCACAAAGTACAAGTTAAATTTCACCGAATTCAATAGTACATAAGAAAGGCCCGGTATCATTTTCAAACTCGGTATTTTCGAACATATATTTTTCTAAATAGTTCATAGAATTACAAATTATTTTTGAAGCGTGTCCATCATTTTCAAAGAGTAAAAACATCATATTTGATATAAAGTGTCTTATCTCATTTGTTTTTACGAATAATGGAATAATGTCAAATCTATCAAGGAAACCCATCCAAAAACCCTACTAAATATATTTTTGAAGACGAAGAACAAGTTTGAAAAACTTCGAATGAGTCTCGAATATGTCCTTTGTCTTCTAAAACTGTTTTTAGTGTAAATAAACAGCTTAAAACGGTTCGATTTTTTTTTATATATTAAGAAAAAGTAGAAACTTGTTGTCTTTCCTTGTTTCAAGATCTGAAAAAGGCCGATTGTAAAAGGTGTCGTTTTTGGAGAGTCTTCAAAAAGGATTTTCGATTAAAGGAGATACAAATAATATTTTTGCCATTTTTATGTACTGGGGACACATAATATATTTTAAATATTAGGAAAGTCAAAACGTATCCAAAATTGTTGTTATTTTTTGAAATTTTAAAGAGAAGGATAATGACCTAAAATTTACTCCAAAAGAAAAAAAAATTGGAATATCCTTAAAATATTTTTTTGTTGAATAGTTTTAGTAGAGATGAATATAGAGAAAATGGCCACAAGACAAATAGATTTAATGAATATAAAGTTAAAAAGCAAAGAGGCTTGACTTCTTTTTGCTATATATGTCCCACATCGGTTCATTTGTTGAAGGTAAAAAAGGAGAGAACCATACATAAAGAAGGGAACGGCTTCTGTACTTAAAATCTGAGAGCCTCCTTTTGTTTCTTTTAGGTATATTTTTATTCAGAAACCAGTTTTAATTAAGTAGAAAGGGCTCGACATTCACATATGTACTAGTGTTTTATTAAAGACGAGGAAGATGAGGATTTCGATTAAAAGAGGTGTTTGGACAAACACAGAGGATGAGATCCTCAAGTCTGCTGTGATGAAATACGGGAAGAACGAATGGGGTCGTACGTCTTCCTTACTTGTGCGCAAATCCGCTAAACAGTGTAAAGCTCGTTGGTACGAATGGCTCGATCCTTCCATCAAAAAGGTACGCATCATATTCTCAAGAATTGCTAGTTTACATATTGATTTTAATCTATCGAGATGTCAATTTCTGACTAATGTTTCTTTATCTTAAAGCAATAACGTTAATTAAGTGGTATGTTTCTCATATATACACACAAACAAGTTTTCCAAATTCTGGCATGGGATATACGTTTTGGTTTACCACATACAACAAAATTTATATGTTGATGTCTGTATCTTGATGAGTCTTTTCTGGGGTAATGTCATTGCAAGGGTTGTCACAGTAAGTTGCATGAACTTGTTAGGAGAAACCTTCTACCTTGTTAGGTAGAGACAAAGAGATAGGAGAAACCCTTTAATAAAGAATTACCAGTATCTAGCTTGGATAAACTCTAGGTCTTGATAAAATCATTAATATTCTTGCCATCAATTTTGTAATAATCGATATCCTGACTGTTTTTCTATTTAAAATTTACAGACTGAGTGGACCAGAGAGGAAGATGAGAAGCTGCTTCATCTTGCTAAGCTCCTGCCGAGTCAATGGAGAACAGTCGCTCCCATGGTCGGCCGCACTTTGTGTGAATGCATCGACCGCTACGAAAAGCTTCTGGATGCAGCTTGTGTAAGGGATGAAAAATATAACGATCCAAGGAAATTACGACCCGGAGAGATTGACCCAAACCCGGAAGCAAAGCCTGCTCGACCCGATGCAGTTGACATGGATGACGATGAAAAAGAAATGCTTTCAGAAGCAAGGGCTCGATTATCCAATACAAGGGGAAAAAAAGGCAAAAAGGAAGGCCCGGGAGAAGCAGATTGAAGAAGCCAGTCGTCTTGCTTCTTTACTAAAGTGGAGAGAATTGAAGGCGGCCGGAATTGATGATTACAGGAAAAGGAAGAATTTCGACTTTTACGCTGAGATCCCCTTTGAAATCATGCCGCCAATTGGCTTTTATGATGTCGCTGATGAAAGTTCAATAGTTGAGCAACCTAAATTCCCAACCACCATCGAGGAAATGGAAGGTGAAAGAAGGGCCGATAGAGAGGCCCGTTTGAGAAAGCAGGACATTGCGAAGAACAAAATAGCATGGAGACAAGATGCTCCATCTGCTATACTCCAAGCAAACAAAGTAAACGCTCCAGAAACTTATAGAAAAAGGCCGAAGATGAACCTCCCGACACCACAGATTCCAGATTATGAATTACAACACATCGCAAAAATGGGTCTTCCAGACGCCATGTCAAGGAATGATTACGACACATCTGCAAGGAAAGAAAGATATGATTATGATGGAGGCCGTAAATTAGACGAGGCAAAAGGTGGGATTTCCAGCAAGGTACTTATAGAGAAATTAAGTTGTTCACTATCCACTTATTAGTTGTTCTGATTGTCAATATCCTAGTTACAAGTTTTGCACATTTAATACCTAATGAAATGCTTATTATAAAAAATATATTAAAATTGTATATATTGGTATTAGGGGTAAAACTATAGAATTATATTGTTATTATCGACAAAAATATAACAAACTTTTGTTATGTTTTATGTTTACTCTTATGTAAATACAAATGGAGATAGTTCTATTTGTTTTCTTGTTATAGCCACCTACTTTTGTTTTATGATTACAAGAATGAACTTTCAATAAAACTTCTTATTGGGACATTCTAGTTTGAAAAGCACCTAATTATAGTAGTAAGAAGTAATGTTTATGTCAATGACATTGATATAACATGCTAGATTTTTCAAGTACACTTTTAAATAAACAAATAGTTACAATTTCTTGCATTTAACCCAATAAAAGTTTATCAACTATAATCTTAATTTTGATCATTTATACTAACAAATAGTTTAAAATATTGAATTTGATATTTTTGTGGAAAATATGGGTAAATTTTTGTGAGTTTCATTGCTTTTAATGGTGCAAAAGGTTTGGAATGTTGGCTTTGCTCTAGTTTTAGTGGTAAAATAGGTCTATCTGGATTGCTTTTATTGGCAAAAAGGCTAAGATGTCGACTTTACCATATTTTTTATACAAAATGTTTTATATTAACTTGCCATATTTTCCAAAATTAAAGAGGCAAAATCAATAAATTCATGGGTATTTGACTGATATGTTTAAAAGGTAACACATGATTTTATCATTCTTCCCCACAACTTGCAATACAATAAGGAGCTTAAGGAAGAATTGAGATGCACCTCCAATGCTAGGATATTGCAATTTCTCCAACCCTCAACTTCTGGGAAATCTCTTTTAATGCAATGATTGAATCCCACAGCCAACCATAATGTGTATATCCCTTTTTATAAACCTTTTCAATTGCCATCATTGATATGCAATATAATTAGACTTACAATCAAACAAATTTGTTTTATGATCAAACAAAGTACAAAATTAAATATTTATCGTACCTACTCTTTCTCCACAAGTAACAAGAATTTAATGGTCTGATCAGGAACCATCAACAAAATCAGGATTTCGTCATTGCAGAACATAATGGCCACGAAGCTGCAAGTGTCAAAAAGTATAAAATGTTAAAAGTCATCAAATGATAACGAACTTATATAATCAGAGAAAATTTTAGATTATCAGAAAGTTGGGTCAGTGTTACAAGCCGACCTAATCATGTTTCCACCGGGAGAGATGGTTTGATGGCATGGCAAATAAACATATAAAATTAATTACTATTCAAAAATGGTCACCAACCGATCATGAATAGAGGAAAATTATTAACATAGTATCACATTTACGACGTCCCCGATAGAAGTAAGAGTTTTATCTGGTCCCTCGCTTTGCGTGTCCAACGGTCATCTAGCATTTGTGAACATGCTTGCGGTTGTTAATGGATCTAAATCCTGATAAATGTCCCAATCATGTATTAGTATGATATATTATTTTATTTTTGACTTAATATCCTTAATGCATATAGGACTTAGTCTCGTAAGATAGTTTATATACGAGTTGTTTTTACTTAATACAGAAAGTCACGGAAAATGAGGTTTTTAATTTTTAGCATTACGTTGTAATTTTTAAAAATAGGATAAAATTCCATTATTAAATGAAAGAAATACCAATGAATTTATACTAATATGTTTATTATTACATCATGCTTTCACTTTTTGTTTTCTATTACAGTATAATAAAAAATAATGATTTAAGTCGTATTTAAAAATATCAAGTCTACCGTTGTACCTTGAAAACTCAACTAATCATAGCATCAAACTATTCATTTTTATTATGACAATTTAATTTGAAAAATCTTCCTAAGTATTTCATTTTCTTTGCAACTTTTTTTTCTTATTAAGACATTGTATGTTAGAAAATCAAATATAGAATTGTACTTTCAACAATTTTCTTATTAGAACATTATACTTTATAACTCCTAATAATTCTTATTAGGACATTGTATTCTAAAAAAGAAAACAAATTATAGCAATGAAAACATTTTTATATTTAAAATCACAATATTGCTACCAATGGATAGATTTCTCAACTTACTATGTTGAAAATCATATAAAGCCAAACTCTCTTTCAGTGTTTTAGAGAGTTTGATTTTTAGAAAAAACATTATTACAAGCAGTATTATGAGAAAAAAAAATAAAGACCCTCCATAAATAGGATGTTGACTTATTAACCAGTTCCAAGTACAAATGAATATTGTTGGTCACTAAAATTTACGAATTTCTACCAAATTATAAATTGAAAGAACTATTGTCAATAAAAGACGATAACTAATAATGCTATGTTATCGTCAATAGCAAAGGAACGAAAAAAATTTGAACGATTTTTATCCCAATTCGACTAAACTAAGATTTATAAAAAAGTCTAAAAATTATGATTGTTATATTATTTTTTTTATCACAATTTGACTAAGCAATTGTAGTTGTGTAATCTCCTTTTCCAATCTATTGAAGCCAATCATTAATATTTGGTGTTCATGAAAAAAACTAACATTGTTTAGTAAAAAGAGTTCTTACAAAATATTAAATTTCATTTAATTTACATGCATAAAAACAACGGGAAGTTGATGAGAGGAACTTGTTCCTGCTTCTCAAGCTAAGTTTATATGTCAATCAGGACCAATAGTAATGCATTTTTCTATGAAACTCAACAATAAATTGACAAAATGATCAATTAACACAACTAAATGAGTTATAAAACAATTAACATGTAAAAATTCTTACTTAACCAAAATGGACTTTTGTATGCATTGTTGCGTTCAAGGATAACACACAAAAATACTTACATAGACATGGACATACTTATCTCGTTCGTGTGGACATCTAGGGCACAATTGTAGATAATAGTTGGCCAAAGCTATAGCTGAGAAATCCAAGGACACATCAAAACATATCATGTGATTTCAAAAAATAAACACATTAACATTGCTCAGATTAACTAAGTTTATGTAGTCCTTTAACAAAACTAAACTTCAATTCCACCACCAAAGTACTCATTCATTTCATTATAAGCATCATTTGAAGAGCTTCTATGAATTGCTTCATTTTAACTTTGTTGTTGACGTGTTCTTTATGGTCTTCATCATAATCATCTTCATCATTCATCGATAATCTACCATAAAAATTTAAATAATTCAAAGTTATAACCAACTTACCCTTTTCATTTGTTTCACTAGTTTCCTCGGCATATATTTCAATTTAAAAGGTTAAATCATTAAAAATATATGGTGAGACATACACATTGTAGTGTGGATAAGACCGCACACACAACACATATATTTAACAAGACTGCAAAAAATACAAATGTAATTTTTGTAGTGGCGTGTTTTGTCCAAAAACACTGTTGAAAGTTGATCTCCGAGTTCCCATAGCTATTGAAAATCTATATAAAGTGTCTTCTCAACTACAAATGTATGTTCAATCAGATTCAATGACAATTCAAATGATTATGATGGTGGTGGTTTTGAACATGAAGGTGGTAAAGAGGATAGACCAAGGGGAGACTATGATATAGACACATTAGCTGATGGTGTGATAAGGAAGATTGTATGTCCACCACTCGCACTCCACTATGTTTGGTTGCAAGCCTTATTAAATGATCTTTTTTGAAATGCATTTAAATAACCAATTACCTAAATTAATACTTATCGTTGGCAGTTTATGGTATATAATATAACCGCTAGTAAGTCGTTGCTCTATGTCCATCCATTAACCCAAGTTTTGGTCTCCCTATTGAATACAATTATTATTATCAATATTAAATGATAGATAATTTTTAAAAACATCTCATCATACATTGAAAACATATGATAATCCCTTGATGATATAATGTGATGGTGGTAAAGATTTCCAACTCTAATATGATTTCCAATCCTATCAAAAGCCTTCTTATTAGTTTTTAAAGAGGCTTACATTAGTCTTCCCCATGAATACCATCGTATAATGGGCCGGTGTTGTAAAATTACATAAAAAAATGTTGGGATTTAGATGATTTTCACAAAGTACAAGTTAAATTTCACAGAATTCAATTGCACATAAGAAAGGCCTGATATCACCTTCAAACTCGGTATTTTCGAACATATATTTTTCTAAATAGTTCATAGATTCGCAAATTATTTTTGAAGCGTGTCCATCATTTTCAAAGAGTAAAAACGTCATATTTGATATAAAGTGTCTTATCTCATTTGTTTTTACGAATAATGGAATAATGTCAAATCTATCAAGGAAACCCATCCAAAAACCCTACTAAAAATATTTTTGAAGACGAAGAACATGTTTGAAAAACTTCGAATGATTCTCGAATATGTCCTTTGTCTTCTAAAATTGTTTTCGGTGTAAATAAACAACTTAAAACGGTTTGAAAAAAGTTTTATATTAAGAAAAAGTAGAAACTTGGTGTCTTTCTGTGTTTCAAGATCTGAAAAGGCCGATTGTAAAAGGCATCGCTTTTAGAGAGTCTTCAAAAAGGATTTTCGGGTAAAAGGGATACAAATAATATTTTTGCCCTTCTTTATGTACTGGGGACGCATTGTATATTTTAAATATTAGAAAAATCCTAAATCATCCAAAATTGTTGTTATTTTTTGAAATTTTAAAGAGAAGGATAATGACCTAAAATTTACTCCAAAAGAATAAACTTTGGAATATCCTTAAAATATTTTTTTGGTGAATAGTTTTAGTAGAGAAGAATATAAAGAAAATGGCCACAAAACAAATAGATTTAATGAACATCAAGTTAAAAAAGGAAACAGGCTTGACTTCTTTTTGCTATATATGTCCCACATCGGTTCATTTGTTGAAGGTAAAAAAGGAGAGAACCATACATAAAGAAGGGAACGGCTTCTGTACTTAAAATCTGAGAGCCTCCTTTTGTTTCTTTTAGGTATATTTTTATTCAGAAACCAGTTTTAATTAAGTAGAAAGGGCTCGACATTCACATATGTACTAGTGTTTTATTAAAGACGAGGAAGATGAGGATTTCGATTAAAAGAGGTGTTTGGACAAACACAGAGGATGAGATCCTCAAGTCTGCTGTGATGAAATACGGGAAGAACGAATGGGGTCGTACGTCTTCCTTACTTGTGCGCAAATCCGCTAAACAGTGTAAAGCTCGTTGGTACGAATGGCTCGATCCTTCCATCAAAAAGGTACGCATCATATTCTCAAGAATTGCTAGTTTACATATTGATTTTAATCTATCGAGATGTCAATTTCTGACTAATGTTTCTTTATCTTAAAGCAATAACGTTAATTAAGTGGTATGTTTCTCATATATACACACAAACAAGTTTTCCAAATTCTGGCATGGGATATACGTTTTGGTTTACCACATACAACAAAATTTATATGTTGATGTCTGTATCTTGATGAGTCTTTTCTGGGGTAATGTCATTGCAAGGGTTGTCACAGTAAGTTGCATGAACTTGTTAGGAGAAACCTTCTACCTTGTTAGGTAGAGACAAAGAGATAGGAGAAACCCTTTAATAAAGAATTACCAGTATCTAGCTTGGATAAACTCTAGGTCTTGATAAAATCATTAATATTCTTGCCATCAATTTTGTAATAATCGATATCCTGACTGTTTTTCTATTTAAAATTTACAGACTGAGTGGACCAGAGAGGAAGATGAGAAGCTGCTTCATCTTGCTAAGCTCCTGCCGAGTCAATGGAGAACAGTCGCTCCCATGGTCGGCCGCACTTTGTGTGAATGCATCGACCGCTACGAAAAGCTTCTGGATGCAGCTTGTGTAAGGGATGAAAAATATGACGATCCAAGAAAATTACGACCCGGAGAGATCGACCCAAACCCGGAAGCAAAGCCTCGACCTGATCCAGTTGACATGGATGACGATGAAAAGGAAATGCTTTCAGAAGCACGGGCTCGATTATCCAATACAAGGGGTAAAAAAGGCAAAAAGGAATGCCCGGGAGAAGCAGCTTGAAGAAGCCAGTCGCCTTGCTTCTTTACTAAAGTGGAGAGAATTGAAGGCGGCCGGAATTGATGATTACAGTAAAAGGAAGAATTTCGACCGCAATGCTGAGATCCCCTTTGAAATCAGGCCGCCACTTGGCTTTTATGACGTCGTTGATGAAATTTCAATAGTTGAGCAACCTAAATTCCTAACCACCATCGAGGAACTGGAAGGTGAAAGAAGGGCTGATAGAGAGGCCCGTTTGAGAAAGCAGGACATTGTGATGAACAAAATAACATGGAGACATGATGCTCCATCTGCTATACTCCGATCTAACAAACTAAGATGGACCTCCCGAAACCACAGATTCCAGATTATGAATTACAACACATCGCAAAAATGGGTCTTCCAGCTTTGAGGGATCAACTGTTACAAGGAAGTGGTGCCACACGTGCTCTCCTTTCTGATTATACTGTTGAGAAAAGTAAAGGTTTTAATATCAAACTTAAACATTAATTTCTAAAGGATTCATGGTAAGTATTGTATTTTATATATTTGTGTGGGTGTGTTATGAAAAGTATGCAGGTTATGTCGGGTTTATACGCGGGTTATCATACGGGTTATGGATGTATCCATGGTGTTAGTGACCCGAGTATATATCTGGTAGCTGGAGACTTTTTGTCTCATTCACATCAAGATATTTCATAGAGTTCTTTTTATCTCGTTCTTTTATCATCGGTTTAGGGTTTGTTCATGTTCAAGAATTAGATCTAGATTAACAGATTCATTTGTTCATATGAGAGTGAGAGATTTATGTAGTAAGGTTTGAGTTGTAATTTGTTTGATGTATAAACCATTCGTTTTATAGTGAATGAAATGATGAAGTTGGGAAATCGTTGAGTTGTTTAGATTTTTTAGATGGTATCAGAGTCATAGGCTTCGTTCTTCTTCTTATAACACTCAATGAGTTCGTTCATCACTTGATCGTCAGGTATCTTCTGATTCTTTTACGTTATATGTTTTGAATCTGTTTGTTGTTGATAGATCTACGTGTTCCTTTGAACTCTTATATTGTTTAGTCATAAACTGTTGATCATTCGATTGTTTTTGGTTTTATTCCTGATCGAATCAAACTTGTTCTTTGTTACGTTATTTCTAGATCCTGGTAGTGCGAGTCTTGTTTGTGTGATTGCAGGTATCTACTGTGGGGCTTCTTGTGGTCTATGACTTTTGTATCTCCTGTGGATCGCCATCTATTGGAAAAACCTGATCGATTTGTGGATCGTCATCGATTGAAAAAACCTAATCGATTAATCTTCTTGTCTGAAATAACTCTATAGGGGTCGGATTTTATCACCGATAAACTCTAGTAGGGAACGGATAAGGAGAGTCGATTCCTTCTTCTTTTATCTTCAGCACTGTGAGAAGTTTCTTGTTCCTTTCTTCCTTTTTTTGATATCTGTTCTGGGAGATCCTGGTGTCTTGTGTACACCAGTTACTTTTCTTGTTTCGTTTTTACTTGATTAGTTCCTTCTGTACTGATTGTCTTGGGACCCGACATACGTGGTGACCATCTAGACTTAATATCAGTACAGAAGTGAGTTCTTGTTTTCTTTCTGTGTATTGTATATGGCTGGTGGTTCTACTGATCCACCTGGTGGAAGTGGAAAGGATGATCAAATCAATTTTGATGATCCTCTTTACATCCATCCATCTGATAATGCTGTTACATCAATTATTACAACAAAATTAACTGGAAATGAAAATTTTAGACTATGGAGAAGTTCTATTTCTAGAGCTCTTAAGGCCAGGAATAAACTTGATTTTGTAGATGGAACTTTTAAGAAAAGTAAGGTTGATGATTCCAAACAGTCTAAATGGGATAGGGCAAATGCTATTGTTTGTTCTTGGCTCTTGTCTTCCATTTCTGATTCCATTTATCAAAGTCAAGCTTATTCTAAGGTTGCAGAAGAAATTTGGGAAAATCTTTTTGAAACCTATAATAAATCTGATGGGTTAGTTGTGTTTAACATTCACCAACAGATTAATTCTCTTAAACAAAATGGTGTTTCTCTGTCAGATTACTTCAATAAGCTTGATTCTTTGTGGAAAGAATTTGATGGTCTTACTAGCTTAACTGAGTGTACTTGTGATGCTTCTGTTAAACTTAAAGATCATTCTAATCTCATGAAACTTATGTAGTTTTTATCTGGTCTAGATGACTCTTACAATCAAGTCAAAAGTCACATTTTATTAATGGACCCTTTACCTAATGTGAAAACTGCTTTCTCTTTTGTGTCAAGAGAATAATCCCTTCAAAGGAATGGATCCTTGTCTTCTTTTCAGTCATCTCAATCTGTGACAAAGACTCAGTCCACTGCTTTTAATAGCAGATTTAATAACATATCTAATGCTAAAAATAAGGGTCAAATTGTTCAGTGTAAGAATTGAGGTATTAAAGGACATACTATAGAGAAGTGTTATAAGTTGATTGGATATCCCAAGGACTTTAAACCAAGAAATGAAAATAGTAATCAGAATAATTTTGTGAAAAAATTTTCTGCTAATTCTTCTACTACTTCTTCTGGAAATGGAAGTACTTCTAAGTTTCCTGATTCTAATGGGGATTCTAAGTTTCATCAACTCACTAAGGATCAATATGTCAAGTTTTTGCAACTAATTGGTGATAGACATGTCAGTGAAGAGTCATCTGTCAGTGCTAATATGGCAGATACTTGTTTATTTCAAGCATGTAATGCTTCTGTTAATTCACCTAAATGGATTGTTGACTCAGGAGCTAATCAACATATGATTGCTTCTGAGTCACTTCTTCATGATACCTTGGATGTGTCAAAATTAGATTTAGTAGTTAGTCATCCTAATGGTACATCTACTAAAATTGAGAAAATTGGTAATCTGAATTTGTCTAACTCTTTAACCCTGTTTGATGTATTTGTTGTTCCTGATTTCAATGTAAATTTACTGTCTGTTCATAAGTTTTGCAAAGATAGTAATTGTGAAGTTGTGTTTAATGAACATAGTTGTAAAATTCAGGGTTTACAGTCAAAGGTGATGGTGGGGAATGGTAGAGAGTATGGGGCTCTCTATTACATAAATAGTGTACCTTCAGGTATTTCTTCTAGTCTCTCTAAGTCCTCTTCTGTTTGTTGTGTGTCCAAACTGACTTGACAGCATAGGCTTGGTCACCCTTCTGATCAAGCTTTGGGTGCTTTAAAAACCAAACTTAGAATTGGTAATGAAAGTCTTCCTCCATGTGATGTGTGTCATAAAGCTAAACAAACTAGAGAACCTTTTCCTGTTAGTCAACACTCTACTTCTAAACTTGGTGAGTTGATTCATCTAGATGTTTGGGGTCCCTATAGGGTGACAACTGTTGAAGGATTCATATATTTTTTAATCATTGTGGATGATTATACTAGGGCTACTTGGGTCTATCTGTTGAGGTCTAAAGATGAAGTTTATGATTGTATTGTTGTTTTCTTTAAAATCCTTCTTAATCAATTTTGTGTTAAAATTAAAACTGTTAGGTCAGATAATGGGACTGAATTTTTAAATAACAGGATGAAATTTTTAATTGAGTCAAAAGGAATTTTGCATCAAACTTTTTGTGTTCATACTCCACAACAAAATGGGGTTGTGGAGAGAAAACACAGACACATTTTAAATGTTGCTAGGTCCCTTATGTTTCAGTCTGCTATTCCACTTAAATATTGGGGAGATGCATTTTTAACCTCTGTTTTTTAAATCAATAGAACTCCTACTTCTGTTTTGAATGGTTCTTCTCCTTATGAACTTGTTTATAATATTGTTCCAGTTTTTGATAAACTTAGAGTGTTTGGTTGTTTATGTTTTGCCACTAAATTGAATAATTCAGACAAATTTTCTGAAAGAGCTGATAAGTGTATTTTTCTTGGATATTCTTCTGATAAAAAGGGTTACAAAGTTCTTAGTCTTGACTCAAATCTTGTTTTTGTTTCCAGGGATGTAAAGTTCTATGAGTATGTGTTCCCTTTCAAGCTTAAATCTTCATCTTTGACTGATAGATCTAATGTTCCTATGAATCCAAATGATTTGTTTTCCTATGATGAGTCATTAAATTCTAGTTCTATTCTTGATAACACTAGGGTAGAAAACCTGGATAGCAACCATCATTTGGATGGTGCTAATGCAGACCATGACTTGGATGAGACATGTCCCTCTGATGTCAGCAACCGGACTGGTGGGGCATATGTGCCTCCTACTGATGAGATGTTTCCAGGTTCTTCTACTTTGACTGAGGAAAATGTTTTAAATAATTCTGATCCTTCTAATAGTTTGTCAACTAGGGAAACTAGATCTGGACGTAGTATTCACATGCCAATTAGATTTAGTGACTATGTTATTGAAGGAAAACATAAATATGGTATAGAAAGATCTGTTAACTATTCAGCTCTTGATAATGATATTTTTTGTTTTGTTTCAAGTCTTAATAAAACTGTTAAACCAAAGAGTTATAGTGAGGCAGTCCTTGATCCAAATTGGATTAACGCCATAAATGAGGAGATGGAGGCCCTTTATAGAAATAACACTTGGGAAATTACTAATCTTCCCAAAGATAGAAAAGCCATTGGATGTCGATGGATATATAAGATTAAATATAAGTCTAATGGTGATATAGAAAGATATAAAGCCAGACTTGTTGCTAAAGGATATAATCAAAGGGAAGGAATAGATTATGAAGAGACTTTCTCACCTGTGGCCAAAATTGTAACAGTTAGAGTGGTTCTCTCTTTGGTTGTTCATAATTCTTGGCCTCTTTTTCAACTTGATATTAATAATGCTTTTTTGTATGGAAACTTATCTGAAATTTTTTTTATGAGTCAACCTGAAGGGTATCATTCAAAGGGTGATACTAGAGTGTGTAAACTATTGAAATCTCTCTATGGACTTAAGCAGGCCCCTAGAAAATGGAATGAGAAGTTGTGCTCTTCTCTTTCCAGCTTTGGATTCAAACAAAGTATGAATGATTATTCCTTGTTTGTTAGAAGTTTTCAAGATTCTTTTGTAGTTCTTCTTGTTTATGTAGATGACATTATTTTAACTGGAAACAATGAAATTGAGTTAAATAATGTTAAAATTTTTCTTAAATCACAGTTTTTAATAAAGGATCTTGGTGATTTGAAGTATTTTCTTGGTATTGAAGTTTTAAGAACTGTTAATGGTATCTGTCTTAATCAAAGAAAATATTGTATGGAGTTACTTCATGAATTTGGTATGCTTGCATGCAAACTTGTTAAAACTCCTTTAGAATCCAATCTTGTTATTAAAAGAGAATCAGATCTGGATAAATCAGATTATTTGGTTGATATAACTGAGTATCAAAATCTTATTGGAAAGTTGATTTATCTAACTATTACA